AACCTTAAAATTGAAATCTGTAACAGCCTGGCTAGATCGAGTCTGCAGGCCGGAGCCAACATTCACATTACCTCTTCCATTCATGAGACGATAAGGGAGAAGCTATGACTGCAGTGAGAGATTTAGAAACCGGGCTTTAAGACTGCTGATTTAGAGCTCGTGGGCTTTTCATCATCAACACTTGTTTTAAATAGACAAATAGCTTCACTGTAGGGTTTGTTGACCTAACGCACACATATAATTTGCAAACCCCGTCAAAATGTGGACACACACAGAGTAAAGTCATTACTAGTTCAACAAAAATGGCATCTTTAGTGCGCTCAATATGCATTCAAGTAGTTGCATATCCTGGATTCCGCCATAGAAAAATAGTCCCTAGAAAAGCAACTTAAAAAAATCTATATCGCGTAAAGGGTGTAACCTTACCGGGCGGTTCTTCAAAAAGCTATCCTCTTATATTATTTAGGTGGCTGTGGACCACAATGGTTTACCTAGCAACAGTTCGTGAAGGGGAGCGGGTTGTGCGTGATATGCGGATTGTGAATTTCACTGGTGCTTAAGGCGTTAAAGTTGCTCGTATTTAGCTCAAGCTCGGGGTTAAAGTCAGTGCTAGAATTTGGATTATTCCTAGGACTAGGGTCATCGGGCTTGATTTTGATATTTGGGCTTGTATTTAGGGTTTTGTGGCTTAGATTGAGGTTTTGTTTAGGTTTGAGTCTTCCTTAAGGGATTACGGGTCAAAAGTTACCCAATAAGCCATCGCCACAGTTGGTGTTAGGTTTGTAGGTAAATACACCTTTCCCAGTGGAATTACACAGCCTACCGATGTCAAGTAATTCCCGTTTACCTAGCTGCCTTGCTGTTACCTTATCGAAGCTTGCCTTCGCTGTTTCGTTCTACAAAGACGGGTGAGCGACACACAGTAGGAAGGGCTCTACCTCAAGTCAACTGCTACGCCTTAGTTCATCCGCAGTCAGCTTGACGCGGACTTGCCTCAGGCACACGACGGAAAAGGGACTGGAAAGTGTAGTAGATTTGGTGTAACTTCTTCTCATCACAAAAAAACCTAACGCGGAATTTAGACGCCCATAACGTGTTTTGGATATACTGCCAAATGGTGGGTTAATCAGGTATTTGCTCGAACGGTGCCCGAGACCACAGCGTGGTATTTAGATAAACCCAGGTGAGGTTCCAGCTATTCTATTCTCTTCTGTATAAACCAAGTTCCCAGCACGTGTGTAGTACGCGTAGACAAGGGCTTTGTGCCACATTACCGGCTGCACAGTCTCCAGTCATCTCAATCCCACCCGGCCATTTGAACACGGTGACTGCAGGTGGGCTTGGTGAAATCCAGTCAAAGCGCAAGTCTGCACTAGGCCTGCGCAACAGAGGTTATCCGCATAAAAACGCCGAAAGCGACAAAATCCAAGAATAAATTGAAGTGAG